CTTTTGTGCCTTCTGTTCGCTCTGTCCCTTTTCTCTCCTGGCTCTTCATAGGACCTTTCTCATCCTTCAAGCCTCCAGTTGTATATCACCCCCTCAGAGAGGCCAGGCTTGATTCATCTCTTTAAATAGTTCTCCCCTTCTGTCTTTCTCTATCCCATTCATTTACTTCCGAGTATTTCCAATGTAAAATGGTTTTCTTTATCTGTCGCCACCACTGTCAAAGAAAAAAAATGCAACACACAAATTAGACAGGCACAGAAAGACTGTATTCAGGGCTCTCTAGAGGACAGAGGTTGAACTCAGTTCTGCTGAAACACGATGCAGGGGAGTTTGTGAGATGCAGGGTGAGCTAGTGGCAATAGAAGGGAGATGGATCAATATCATAAAGTCATCTGTGTTTGCTAATTGGCGCTTACCAAAGTTAGGCTCCTACCTTGCTTCTCTTTTTTCAAATGTTTATTTTTTATTTTTGAGAGAGAGGGAGAGAAGCAGAGAGAGAGGGAGACACAGAATCTAAAACAGGCTCTAAAATCTGAGCTGTCAGCACAGAGCCCGATGCAGGGTTTGAACTCATGAACCGTGACATCATGACCTGAGCTGAAGTCGGACGCTTAACTGACTGAGCCACACAGGTGACCCGTTTGCTTCTAAACCTAAGTGCCAAGTACAGTTCCTGACACACATGTCCTTAATCAAATTTTGATAAATGAGCACATGAATGAATATGCTTTACTAGAATACTTGACCTGTGTTATCTAGGGTATTTAATATTCTCTATGAAATATGGCCTTTTGTAGCAACGTGGATGGAACTGGAGAGTGTGATGCTAAGTGAAATAAGTCATACAGAGAAAGACAGATGCCATATGTTTTCACTCCTATGTGGATCCTGAGAAACTTAACAGAAGACCATGGGGTAGGGAAGGAAACAAACAAGGTTAGAGAGGTGAGAAGAACCAACCAAGAGACTCTTAAAAACGGAGAACAAACTGAGGGTTGATGTGAGGGGGATGGTTGGGAGAGGAGGAGGGGGGTGATAGTAAGGCACTGAGGAGGGCACCTGTTGGGATGAGCACTGGGTGTTGTATGTAAACCAATTTGACAATAAATTTCATATTAAGTAAAAAAATATATATATATATATATATATGTATATTCTTTTAACCTCACGTCCTGTAAAACTGGAATAATACTCTACATCTTATAATGGGTGTTAAGATAAGATAACATTATGTATGTTAAAATACAAAGAATAAGCTTCAATCAAGTAGAATGTTTTCTTTCTCCAGATGCTGTGTTTCAAACAAAATCTAGATATCTCCTCTAAATATAATCATTTTTTCTGGTAACTGGCTGTTGGGAACCTCATTGTGTTATAATATAAACACAATATATAAACTTTTTGTCTGACTGATGATAAACTTCGTCTTTATCACCTTCACATTTGTATTCTACCAAGCATATTCCTTTTTTCCAGCTTTAGTGAAATATAATTGACATATAATATTAAGTTTGAAAATTATACACAATGTGTTGATTGGATACATAATATATTTATAAAATGATTACCTATAAGCATTATACCTAATACTCCATCATCACACAATTATTAGCTCCTTTTTTTTTTTTTTGAGAGAGAGAGAATGAGAAGATAGGGGGCAAGTGACTGAGGGGCAGAGAGAGAAGAGGGGGGAGAAGACTATGAGAGAAAGAGAGGGCTGCATGGACTTAGGACTCATGGATTTTTTTTGCAAGTGGGGCTTAAACTCATCTGAAGGCGAAAGGATTTAGCACCTGATATGTGAGGACGACTTACGAAACCATGAAATCATCACGTGAACTGAAGTCAGATACTTAACGACTGAGCCACCCAGGCACCCAATTACTAGTTAGTTCTTATGTGTCCATCAACAGAAAAATGAATAAAGAAGGTGTAGTGTGTGTGTGTGTGTGTGTGTGTGTGTGTGTGTGTGTGTGTGTGTGTACAACAATAAGAAAGAAGGAAATCCTGCCATTTGAAGACAACATGGATGGGCCTTGAGGGCATTATGCAAAGTGACATAAATCAGCCATAGAAGGATAGTGTGTAATACTACTTACATGTGGAATCTGAAAAAGCCTAACTCATAGAAACAGAGTAGAATGGTGGTTACCAGAGACTGGGGGGTTGGGGGTGGGTAGAGGAAATGGAAAGATATTAATCAAAGAATACAAACTTCCAGTTACAAGATGAGTAAGTACTACAGATCTACCAAGATATTCTTAAAAATAAACATAAGAAAATATGATGGTTACTCATGACAAATGTGAGTCGAAGTAGCATAACTTTAAACTTTGAGATTTCCAGACACATGTTTGGATCCAGCGTCATCATATGCCTTGTTTCCACAGAAGCGAGTAAATTGCAGTGAAAGAGGCATATGCACTGCTGTATCAGAAAGGTTTTGAGGTGAACTTTACACGGTCGGGATTGGTGGTAGCCAATAGGTGGTCTTTAAAATCTCTTAACATCATAGTTGTGTCTACACCAGCAAAATCAGCAAAACAAACTGAAGCATAAAGCACTACTACCTTAACAATCTGTGACTGTCAGACGAAAGTGGCTATTTTTCTCTTTAGACAATAGTCTCCACGACCTCCTTGTTTTGCATAACAATGCAGCAGCATTGGCCTGACCATCGCCCTCCATCCAGACACTCACTGAGAGTACATCTGCACTTTGCGTTTCAGAACTTGAGTTCAAACTCACCATGTTCCATTAGACAGTGTTAGAGGCAGAACTAACTCTAATAGGCCTGGTATGCTATATCCAGCTTTTCCCCGCTATGCAGTGAGTGTAAAAAGATATAAACACCTTTATCTCTAAAACCAGGAATAACAAGTGCTTCTTAATACGTTCTTTCAATTTTCCTGATTAAAAAAAAGTAGTTACAAAATAAAGGATTGTTAAATGGATCAATTGGGGAATATAAAATTACTTGCCTGTCTCATGGTAGCTCCTCAGAAAGTTAAACATAAAATTACTTTATGATCCAACAATTCCAGTCTAGTTATATATATCCCAAAGGGATGAAAGTAGGGACTCTAACAACTGCTTGCACAAAGTGTTCATACTACCCTATTCACAACAGCCAAGAGGTGGAAACCCCTCAAATGTCTATCAACAGATGAGTAAACAAAAAGTGATGTGTGTGTGTGTACACACAGTATTATATTATTCAGTGATAAAAAGGAATGAAATTCTTGTGCCTGGGCAGCTCAGTCAAGTGTCTGACTTTGGCTCAGGTCATGATCTCGCGGTTCATGAGTTCGAGTCTTGCATCGGACTCTCTGCTCTCAGCACCGAGCCCACTTCAGATCCTCTATCTCCCTCTCTCTTTGCCCCACTCCTGCTTGTGCTGTCTGTCTGTCTCTCTCAACATAAATAAATAAACTTAAAAAAAAATGATTGAAATTCTCATGTGTGGTACAATAGGGATAAACCTTGAAAATAATATGCTAACTGAAAAAAACAGGCTAAGAAGGACAGATATTGTATGATTCCACTTATATGAGGTACTTAAAAGAGGCAAATTCAGAGACAGAAAGTAGGATGAGATTACCAGAGGTTGAGGGGACTGGGCTATGGGGAGCGACAGAATGCTCAATGGGTACAGAATTTTGGGGATAATGAAAAATTCCTGGAAATGGATTGTGTGATCTTTAAACAACATTGTGAATGTACTTAATGTCACTGAATCATATACTTAAAATGGTCAGAATGGTAAATTTTGTTATGTATGTTTCATGCCAATAAAAATTTAATAAATAAATGTTAAAAATTATCATTCCCTTATAGTATAGATACTTCATTCATCATGAGTTTAAATTTCTTGCAGGTGGGGGAGGGTTGTACAGTGAGATGGAAAAATGCTTCAGACATGGATTCAGGAGCCTTCTCCAGTCTCAGCTCCGTCACTCACTAGCAAAAAGAATTTGAGCAAGTCACTTAGGTCCTTTGCACCTTAGCTTCTTCTAGTTACAGTATCCAACCGAGTTGTTCTGAGTACTAAAATTAAAGAAAATAATGCATATAAAGGGCTTTGTAAATTCCAACACTTATATAAGTAGATTAGAGCAGTTTTATGATGTATTCCTTTAAGAAACTTAATCTTTTCACTGAAATATACTTATTGCTACTTAAGTATTCTAAAATATTAAGGTATTGTTGGCAAGATTCAGCCAAGGTGGATTTTCTTCTCTGTAGATTGAATCGTAGGTTTTTAGAGTGAAAATAAAAGGGCACATGGGTGGCTTGTCAGTTTAGCGTTCTACTCTTGGTTTCAGCTCAGGCCATTATCTCATGGTCATGAGATTGAGCCCCAAGTCTAGCCTCACCTTGAACCCTGCATGGAACCCACATCGTTGTCATTGTGGAGGTCCCGTGGAGCCCCCATCAGGCTCAGGGCTGGGAATGGAGCCTGCTTACAATTCTCTCTCCCCCTCTCCCCAGCCCTTCCCCTATGCATACTTGTCCTCTCTCAAAAAAAAATAAGAAATTAAAAATTTTTTAAATAAAAATAGGATGAAAAATACTAAATTTCTAAAAAACGACATTTCTACTTAGCATTCTTATAGTCAGTGAGTCATTAAGCCTTTCATTGTTTAGCCTCTTTTGTACATACCTTAGGAAGAAAATGATAACTATGTTGTATCTGGTCTGGAAAAAGGCCTTCATTCATATTTAATTACAAATATTAACAAATTTTGTTTTGCTACCTGCTCTCATCTTCCATCCCAAACCATGCATACCATTGTTAGTCTTTGTATTGCCAGACATACAATAATTTGACATGGCACTGTATCCAATTGGACATTGTCTTGTAAAACTCTTTGGAAACATAATTACATTGAGAACTAAGTATTTAAAAAGTAACAAGTTTCTAGTAATAACCTCATAACTTTATGCCAGAATGAGTGTGGTTGAGCAAGTGTCAACTAATTTTTTGTTTCCCTCCTTAGTGGTTATGTCTTTGACTATGATTACTACAGAGAAGATTTCTACAATCGGTATGTAAATTTTTCATTCTTGTTTCCTCTTGGTTTAAATGATCTTTTAACTGTTTTGCACATTTCATTCCTAGATATTCTTGACTGATATTTGAAATAAAGAAAATTCTTTTAAGTCCCAAAAAGTATAATATAGGCAGATTTTCCTATTTTCATTGTGCTTACTGAAGCCTAGTGCATCTTGGACTTTTAGGACTTCAGAGGTTCTTAAGCCTAAAATTCAGTTATTGAATATTTGAATAATATTCCAAAAAATTTAATTAACCAATACTGTTTTCCGGTTCTTTTGTTGACTTAGAATTCTTCAGGACTGAGAGTTTGGTAAACTCAGAAAATGACTCCAACCTTCCAAAATACATCTGCTTTCATCTGACACATTGCAATGCTGTATTGGTTAGATTCAATTAAACACCAGACAGTTCTTGCTCTGCATAGTAGTGTTGGACCATAAAGGAAACCATACCAAGTGATGTTAATAATCAGTGGAAAAAAACAGAATTTTCCATGAGGTCTAAAAATGTAAAAACATTACAGACTCTCCTACTGTTGGTTATAAATAATAGGGAAACACAGTAAAATAGCTTTAAGTGCACTATAAAACAGTAAAAAATGAGAATTAACGTGTTTTACTTCTTTGTAAAAAAGACCTGTCAAAAGTAGTTTGAACCGTGCTTGCTTTCTCGTACAACTTACAGCACGGAACTAGCACACCTCTTGTGCCTTGGTGAGTTGTCATATTCTTTTCTCAGGCTGGACCAATGTCAGCAGTGTAACAGTATTGTGAAGCATCTCTGAGAGTTCTTCAGTGTGTAGTTCTTTTGCGAGTGTCACTTCTTCTGGGACATCCTCATCCCTTTTTACCACTTGACAACAATTTTCCTCATTTATGTCAATATGTTTGCTTTAATAAGGTCCCCAGGCTCGATATCTAGAGTCTCTCCAATAGAAGAGTGTCAGCAATCCTCACTCAGCTATTCCTCCTCGACTTCTCCATTACACCTAATTTTATTTCATTTCCAGTGCTATCCTTCCTCTGTTCTTTGCTGCACTTTCATCTCTGTTGACCAATTTCCTCTTTGGAGTGTCCGTTTTTGTCAAGTGCCACATGGGTTTGTCACGGGCAACAAGGAGACGATACAACTACACGGTTACTGTCTGTGTGTGAAGTGAATAACAGATGCACCACAACCAGACGGACTTTGAATGAAGTGATGTAACTGATCACTGATCGTGATGCACATCTGTTATTTACAGCGATTTGTGGACTGAAAAACTAGCAGCAAAGTTCAGACTGTATGAAATTACTCACAGTTAGTATACTGTGGTAACTGAAATTTGATTTGTGCTATGTGGAGACTGGTGTTATTTAACTAAATATTGGTCATGGAAATTCAGAGATACACAGAGCAAGGGCCGACTGTACATAGGTCGTTAGACCACACACACACACACAAACGAGGTAAATATCTTTTAAGCTGTTAATTGTAAGTTCTAGTCAAACAAAATAACAAAAAATCCCAAGGTATAAAAATGCAAAATAGTTTTGCATTTAGAATAAGAGTTTGTAATGGACATTTTAAATAGGGAAGAAATTTCACCATCCCTTGGTGAAGGGAGCGCCTTGTTCTTTTTGCTCTAGCCACACGGCTCTTTTCAGTTCCACAAGAACACCATGGACCCTCCCACCCCAACACCTTCCTCTGTGCTGCTCCTTCTCCTCATACCTCCCTCTGCCATCCAGTTAACCTGACTTCATCCCTCAGATCTCAGCATGAACACCACTCTCAGACTAAATTAGGTTCCTCTGTGGGCCTCTCTCAGTGCCCAGTATTGTTCCTTCACAGCACTTCTGGTTTTTACTGTTGCGTTTCTTTGTGGTGACAGTATTTGATTTATGTCTGCCTCTCTTCCTCCATGAAGGCAGAAAAGATGCCCAGTTTTTCTTATTATTGTATCCTCAGGCACTATCATTAAGGCTCAAACATAGTGGATACCCAATTTGTATTAATTCATCTCCTTTGTTTAGAGAGACTTTGGTTTTCCCAAGATCATAGAGTAAATTCATGACAAAACTACAATCATAAACTATTCCTTTAGATTCAATAACTGACTGTGTGAATATGCAAAACAGAAGGAGAACAATTCAGAGTTAAATAAAAGGAGACAGCCTTACCTAAAGGGAAATAGGACCCACAATCATACCTTCATAACCACTATGTTCAACTGCTTAGTGAAGCAAGTTATTTCACTAGTGATGCCTTTATGACAAAATATGAATCTTAAATGATAATTTTCTCAAAGGATCTTTATAATTTCTATAAAATATAGTATTTTATTTTAAATACTAAATAGTTTATAATAACTTGTCCTAGAAATGACCTGAAGGTCTGGCAGTATTAAAAAACCCCATTTACTATTAAGGAAAGATAACATTTCAATAGTCTGCATACCATTTGAAAATTTTAGTTTTTGACAATGCTATAGACATCTTCTAATACAGCTTTTTTTCAGGATGTAGAACAATGTCCTAATTGCTATGAATAAAGTTTTCTTTTTTTTTTTTTTTAATTTTTTTTCAACGTTTATTTATTTTTGGGACAGAGAGAGACAGAGCATGAACGGGGGAGGGTCAGAGAGAGAGGGAGACACAGAATCGGAAACAGGCTCCAGGCTCCGAGCCATCAGCCCAGAGCCTGACGCGGGGCTCGAACTCACGGACTGCGAGATCGTGACCTGGCTGAAGTCGGACTCTCAACCGACTGCGCCACCCAGGCGCCCCCTGAATAAAGTTTTCAATTAACGTACATTGTGTTTTAATCTGTCAGTATAGAACTGTTTTAGAATTGTAATCTCTTGAATGTTTTCAATCTTGTGGCATCCTTCTACATTTAAAGAATTTCTGCTTAGGGGCACCTGGGTGGCTCAGTCGGTTAAGCATCCTACTTCAGTTCAGGTCATGATCTCGCAGTCCGTGGGTTCGAGCCCTACATCAGGCTCTGTGCTAACATCTCAAATCCTGGAGCCTGCTTCAAATTCTGTGTCTCCCTCTCTCTGCCCCTCCCCCACTCATGTTTTGTCTTTCTGTGTCTCTCAAAAATGAATAAATGTCAAAAAAAATTTTTTTAAGAATTTCTGCTTAAAATGGCTCAATAAAAATCATTAGCTAGATGATAGATAAATAGATAGATAGATAGATAGATAGATAGATAGATAGAGATAGAGATGATAGATAAATCTATCCTTACCTGCCACAGAGCAAGAGCCTTAATCAGCCAAATAGTTACAGAGCTTGAAGCTTTCAGATGGCTCTCCACTACACAAAAAAGCTAACCCTGAACAATTCCCAAAATAATTTGTTTGTCTTATATAAAACCTGTTTGGCTTATAAGTGCACAAAAGATCAGTATTGTTGTGTTGCTAACTGACTGTCTAAGCAATCTGTGCTCTTATTAGTTTATTTTCCATTTCTCACACTTGGCTAAGAAAGATATAAGCATTTGCCACTAGTGGATAGAGTCAGGAGTTCCCTGTGAAAATAGATTCTCATGAAAGAAAAACAGAATGGAGAGGCTGGACAATATAAATAGCTTACAAAGTGTTAACAATTTTATCCACAGTAATCTCTCATAAATTACACTCTGCTTGAATTTGTTAATTTTTTTTTCTCTTTTTACTAGTGGTGCAAACTTGGGCAAGTTATTTAATACTACAAAATATGTTGTTTCATCCACGATGTGAGCAAGAAATTAATTTCTGCATCATAAGATTGTTCTGAGGATTAAATGAAGCAACATATGTATAATGATCAGCATTATGCTTGGTATATTTTTACTGTGCAATCAATGTTAACTGCTAATAATTGTTAACAGTAACCATTAACAATAATGATGAATGTATTTCTCTGACTGATATTCATGTAGCATCGTCCCTGTGAGAAATAAACTGGTGGGTCGGTTGGTCCAAAACAGTCTATTGTGATGACTCCAGATTATTCTGTTTTATGGTTTTCCCTTTTCCTGCTCCCAGCGCATTCTGGTTGGAGCTAAACACACTTACTTGCAGAGAGAGGACCCTCAGCTATTTCCTTTAACCCCAAGCGGCCTTGTTTTTGGTTCTGAAAACAGAAATCACTTAGTTACATGTAACAGGGATAATTGTATGTAAAAACTTTCTAACTAGGTATTAAGGAACTGAAAAAGCAAAAAGAAAACACTGTGGTGTAATGGAGTTAGCCACTACAGGAAGCAGCTACCAACCCCAAGTTTGGGAAAACAGAGGATGAGGTTGGGGATTATCAAAATTTAATGTGGAAAAGGGGAGTTACAGAGCAGAAACTCTGCTCAGCTGGTGCCGCTTTATCTGAACCCAGAGGGGGAACTTGGGGTTTGAAACGTAGACCTTCTTAAGGGAAGGTGAAGGGACTGTCCTGCATGTGTTGCAAAGTCACTTAAACTCGAGTCATCTGAGTAGTGACTGAGTGGGCTAAGCCCAGCAAGGAGCCAGCTGGCCCCCACGGAAATGTAGTTGGCAGAGTCCCAACTCCAACTGTGGTTAAAGGTGGGTCTGAAGCTGAGAGATAATAGCTTAGTCTCTGACATACATCCACATCCTATTGTTACCCGTTTTCTGCCAGGTTTGGGGATTTTAATGTGACTGGGGATTTTCAACCCTTAGATAGTTTCAGCTTAGAAAACCGCTTTACGTAAAGCACCATTGTATTGTCATTGTTCTGATACGTTGGCCCAGCAGTAACTTTTCTAAAGACTAAATGAGTGTCTGTTCATGGCTACGAGGATCATGAAGATTATCACTAAATAATAGACTTGAGTGATTATTCTAAACTTAAAAAAATTTTTTTTTAATGTTTATTTATTTTTGACAGAGAGAGAGACAGAGCATGAGTGAGGTAGGGGCAGAGAGAGGGAGACACAGAATCCGAAGCAGGCTCCAGGCTCCGAGCTGTCAGCACAGAGCCCAACACAGGGCTTGAACTTACGGAC